TTTCTCTAAAAATAATTTCACTTCACAGCAGCACTCAGGTTAAACAGCAAAGAGGCTATCATCTGACAGCAAATTTACCAGGGGACCTCAAGGTAGACTATAAACATGCATCAGAGGTAGCTGCGTGCTGCGGTAGATTTACTGCAAAACAACTGGTGGCTGTTGATCAACACCCCCTACTGTATTTAATAAGCAGCTTTTTCTGTTATAATTTACGGTAGATTTAATGATTTTTTCATGGTTTCATCTGGACTCATTACTGCAGCCGCACTAATACTTATCTTAAGGGAAATGGTGATCAGCCACAGCAGGTATTTCAGATTAATACAAGTTGCATTGTGGTGGTTCTGTAGTGAAGGGTCACTTAATCTACTTTTCTTCCAAACAGGGCCATATTTTCCTAGAGCCAGCAACTTGCAACAATGCTGCCTGGCATTTCATTTAACATTAAGTCCTTGTTTGCTAGGGAGTCCTATACAAAGCCTTTACATTTCCAGCTCCTTACCAGTATCAGTGTTGAAAAAGCAGTGCCCAAATCTAACTCATCTTAAGAGGAGCTTGGGATATTTTTAAAGGCTCTTTTGGTAATTGAAAAGTTAGATTTTATGAAACTGTGATCATAGAAAACGGAATAGAGTTATTGTCTTCTTAAAATGCCAGTGGAAATACAGTTGCTTTGATAAAAAAATTTCTCTGCTGGGGCCCCAAAGGCAAAGATGCTTCGTTTAGTTTATGAAGATGAAGGTAAGGCTGACAGGCCTAGTTTCACTCACCATGCTGAGGATGCAAGGTTAGCATGAAAAAAAAAGTCAACCCAAGTGACAACAAAAATGAAGATTTTACAAAAATGGTTGGCTTTTGCTAGTCTGAGGGGCATGTCTGTAACAGAGGTAATGGCTTTCTTTAAATACATTACTGTTAGTCTTGATGATATATACTTAAATAATTGTTTAAAAAATCAAAGAGAGTTCTGTGTTAAATTTGTCAATTCCTTTGTTTTTTAACTCCAAAAAATGACTAGGGCATGACTCCACTGATGTATGCTTGTGTCAGGGGTGATGAGGCTATGGTGCAGATGCTGCTAGATGCTGGAGCAGATCTGAATGCTGAGGTGAGGACTTTTTGTTGGTTGTATCTTTGTTCTGTTATTTGTTTACATCTTAAACTACCCCCTGAAACTGTAGCAGAGGGAAAATTCCAAGAATTAAAAAGAGAATAAATTTGTCTTCCCCTGGATGGCACCACTTGAAATGAGTAGTGAAATCGAACTGCATTAGATTAACATTGGGATTCACTGCACAGAGGGGTCAAGTCATCGGACTTACCCCACAGGTAATATTGATTTAGTTGTGTTTGAACATTGCAAATGAATACAGGCATTAGCGCTAGCACGGAGCACAGCTCTAATGATACTGGAAGAACTCCCTGAATCTCAGCTGAGTTAAAATGAAGAGGGTAAAAGAAATACCCATCTGATAACCTGCTAAAGCTCAAGCATTTCTATGCACTGGGACGTTCCAGCTAAGCATCATAGAACCATAGAATCCTTTAGGTTGGAAAAGACCTTTAAGATCATCAAGTCCAACCGTTAACGTAACACTGCCATCCCACCACTAAACCATGTTCCCAGCACACAAGTGCAATGTAGGTTCCACTGTTTTGTTTTACAAAGTGCCTTGGGCTAAAAACAGTTGGATGAGGAGCTTGAAGCTTCCAGAAAATAAACACCTCTTTGATGAGCGCACATCACAAACTTCCACAATCTGTCCACCAAGCAGATTGTGGTCTGACTCTGTGCAATGCAGGTATGTACATTTTTAAAGAGCCGCTTGAAAATCCACGAAAGAATTATTTGTTAATGATTCCAGTTTCAATTTGTTGAGGTCATGAGTAAATTAAGCTGTCTGCTTCACTTATCTGTGTTCCATCTGTTCTGTTTGGACTTGAGTGAGCTGATAAATTGTAGTCACTGCTTTCAGCCAGACGTTTTGCACTTTTAAAAAATCTAATTTAAAAGTAGAAGTGGATGTCATCTGTAAGAGACTGATAGCTGTTACTATCTGATTGCTGTTCGGTGGCTTATGTGAAATCAGCTGATGATTTCAGTTCCACTCTCACCTCTTCCCAAATTCAAGCACACCACCCTCAAGAGCTGGCAATAATTGAATACTCGAACCCTTGTTAGCACTCTCAATAAATAGGCACACCGAAGACTGGCTGGGCATGGAGACTGATCTCTCGCTTTACCCTGCCCGTGGCTCAGAGGTGAGATGGTTCCTAGGACAAGTTTTCATTAGGAGCAGTCCTCCCAGTTGCTCCAGTAATCTCCCAGACTTGAACCAAATGCAAATTTAGACAGTTTTGTCTTCCTGAAACTGCTGACATCTGAGAGAACAGCTCCAGTGAGGAATGTGAACCTCCCTGATTCATTTCTGTCAAATGTTTGCTCTAAAATCAAATGAAAACACTTTGGGACAAGAACTGTGAATAATTATGGTGTGCAATTATAAGATGATTTGTGCACACCACAACCAACTGTGCAAATTGGGCAATTATGGCAAAAAAAAAGGCAAATCAACCATGAGCAAAAATAAATACTCTGTCAGGTGCCTGCATCATTTTCCCCTTTCACTTTGCAAATCAGTTATATATATATGTTTCCAAAAGTAGCCTCAAATCCTGGGCGCCTCCCTTTTTGATTGCCCATCTTTAGCAAAAATGGACTCATTTCCAGATGTGCTGAGAAGCTGCAATTCGCTGTGGAGTCAGTGGGACCTGTAGCTGCTCAGCAAATCTCAACTGAAGCCTTCAAAGCCCGGTCAAACGCAGGCCTTTTGCAAACGCTGCGTTGACTGGAAAGAACTCTAACCCAAAAAAAAAGGAGCAAAGGAGTTAAAATGACTGCATTTTCTTTGCCGCTTAGCATGGGCAGCCCTGAACAGTGGTGGGAATCTGTGCTGGAGGAGGAGCTGGATGCGTTCACCGAGCAGTGACCCTGCCCATACTCACCCTCCACTGCTCTTGCTCCCCAGCCTAAACCCCAAGGCTCAAGCTGCTCAGTCCTCTTCCTTCCAAGCAATCACAGACCCAAAGAAGCCCCATGCCTGTGCTCGAGACACTGGCACACTTCTGTTGGCACTTTGAGCTCTCTTTTTGGCAAATCTGGGTGATAACAGCCGGGTGCTGGTGCAGATCTGCTCCTCTGGCAAGCCGCGGGATCTGCATGGGCTCTTCAGATTTTGCCCTCATCCCTGTCCTTGGGACTGAGGGCCTGGTCGTGTGCTTCTAGCAAAACACTGCATGCAGCGCTTGGAAATGCGAGCTGCTAATGCATCCGAGCATTTAATAACTGGCCCTGCTCCCCTACATGCATAAAAGTACTTCAGACAAGGTAGCAAAAGCATAGCTGGCTGATGAGACAGAGGGGTGGTGCATCTTTTACTCTGATTTTAGTCTTCCTCTGAAGATCGATAATAAGATTTTGAATTTTAGTGTCACACTCCATCCTAGTGTGCAGTCTCGGATTGCAAGCGTTCATTAGATTTTACCATCTCTGTGAACCTCATCAATATTAATACCCCCATCTTTAAGACAGGGAAACTGAGGCAAAGAGCG